ATGTGATGTATTTATATGAGGTGTATGAAGGGTGATATGTGATATGTGGAGTGTATATGTAGGCGGTATCACATGTATATATGTATTAATCAATGTGTGGTGTTTATGGTGCAGTGTCGTATCTGATCTCTTTTAGTGAGTGTAGTATCTGTGTAAGATTTGTAGTATCCGTTCTTTTCACAAGTGTGGTATCTGTGTGGTATCTGTAGTATTTGTCGTGTAAGGTGTGATGTGTAATATATATTGTGTAGTGTTTTCTATTGTGTATCGTGGCATTTCTTGTGTAGTATCTAAACTTATCAATTAAAGGTGTGTAGTCTATCTATGTGTGGTGTATGAAATGTATTATATGATACGTGGAGTGTATATGCGTGTGATATCAAATGTATATATACTAGTCAGTGTGTAGTATCTATGGCGTGGTGTTTGTTATTTTGTAAATGTGGCATCTGTCGTTTTGTGGATATAGTATCTGCTCTTTTGTAATTACCAGTCTCAATCTCAAACCTTTTGAGGAAGGGTTAGGGTTACCGATGACTTAAGAGAATGAAAGGGCATCTTACTAATTGAATATCGATTCTATATTTTCAGCCATAAAAAAAACTGATTAGTGGTTCTTTGCATCTTTGTCTGTTACCCCGCATTTCAAATTTATAGGCCACTTTGATGTTTCATATGCTTATCAAACCAATTTGCCTATTTTATGTTTAATTTCGAACAATGTAACATATACTTGCCAAACAAATGAAAACTTGTTGCTTAAGTAGTGTAAGGAAGAGGAACAAATTCCATGTATGTCTTAAGTGCAACGTTACGTACAATATTTAAATCATCTTAAATGCATCGTGTATATGTATGTCAAGTTTGAAGAGTGAACAACAATGCAACTTATCCGTATTCCATGTCCCAATAACAATCTTCATATATTAACTTTTGTTGTTCGAACCCTAAAATATCTTGTAGCATCATCGTTATTTTGAGGATTCAAGTCGCAAACAAACATATATAAATGCTCTACGTGTGAATGTATAACCAATATGAAGGTAACACAATATACCACAATATAAACTATCATCGAAATTTGATATAGAATCCAATCATTCATATATGTAACTTATCTATTATAATATGATTCACTAATTCCAACTATTAAGCTTTCAATACATGTCTCTGTCACCCATCTCTGTCACTCATCTCTGTTTATACCAGGTAATAAGAATTAGATTATCAAACATAAAGGTTTCCAGCCGCAGGTAGTAAGCCACAATATTCCGAAATATAGCAAAGGAAATTTAGCCACAGTTCTTTCTGCAATATTAAAATATAAAGTAAAAAAAAAAAGAAAACTAGATATCATTATTACACATGCCCAAATCGTAAAACTAAGCTAGCTGCTCTTGATATCATGCAATGGAGCTGTCAATTATGAGATGATAATTTATACATTTCTGCAGGTGTTAAGTCATTGTTTGTCTCATATTTCCCTCAACATTAATACTCATAAATGCCGCATGATTTATTTCATTTCGGTGATTCAGCAAACATTTTCACAGAAGTTTATGGATAATATTTTCTAGGAAGCTTTACATGCATGACACTCAATTCTTAAGCACATATACATCCCATACTTTAGACTTTAATCTATATATATGGCACATTTTCTATAATCGAGACTGCATACTTAAAAAAAAAAGAGAAAGGTCAAGATGGCAATAACTTTTTATATGATAAAAAAAAATTAGATGGCATAAATATAAAACAATTTGGTGTTGGGTTTACAAATATGTGTAGAAATTAGGTGGTATATATGTAAAATTTTCATTAAATTTAATGGAATATTTGAAGCAGAAATCCAGTAAAGGTGTATGAAAAGAAACAATAATATGTCCTCTAAACAAGTTCTCCTCTAGTAATTTATAATATCGAGCAAGGAAGAATATTAAAAGAATATCTAAATCCACGGTAAGCATGCTTGGGATGAAAGGTGACTAAACTCATGAAATTAATATAGATCTTATATATAGAGCTTATGATCACTCCACATATGAACATATATAAAAATCAAACCAAATTCTAGCTACTTAAGGAGATAACAATTCATAATCTCAAAATCAATTCGATTCGGATTTCATAATGTAACAAGGATTAATAAAATTTTCTTTTAAAACAGAGAAAGCAAAGAAGAAAGAAAAGAAGAAAGAAAGGAAGAAAGAAAAAAAAATACTTCCAATGCTTAATAGTTTGAAGCCAAAACCCGCAAGGAAGCTAAACTTCCTGCTAAGCAATCAAATGATATAAACTGAATATGAAAATAATTTTGAAAACATGAATCAAGCCAAGAACTCGTATAGGATAGGAGGCTTTTTTACAAAACATAAAAAAAAAACTGCAGCTAAGGTAAAAGAGAATCGAAAGGAAGCTTGTGAAATTTATATAAGGTCTGCAAAATTCTAAATCCTCAATGGAAGTTTCCTTATAAGTCCTTTTTATCTTTAAAAGAAAAGAAATCAGGGCTAACTCAAATAACTAATTGTAATCACCACATTTCAACCTGCCTTTCTTTTTTTCTTGGAATTAAAACCACATTTAAGATCTGTGAATGAGTTTAAGAGAGGAAAGGAAAACTTCAAGTTCTACAAGAAAATCAGAAGAAACCCTCTCAAATAACCAAATATAATTCTAAGGAGATACGAGAATTTCCATCTACTTCATGTTACTATAGTACAAATCCATCACATGAATATATTCTCATATAAATGCCTTTCTAAAGTCAAGAATCCCTTTGGGGCAGCCAAAAAAAAAAAAGAACTTACTTCCAGAAAGTATAAAGAAAACCTCGAAGCAGCAATGAAAGTTTCAAATCGCACGAGTGAATCACTAGCGAACCGATGGACCAATATCAACCTCCAGAGAAGAATGAAGAAACAAAACCAAGTGAGACTTCTCAAAATCTCCCGAGCGAAAACATCAACAACCAAATCTTCCCCTCAAAGGGGTATTTATAGGCAAAAATGAGAATGGCTCACCGACGGTGAGCATCGAGGCGGTGAGGAGAATCACCTGAAAAGAATGAAAAAGCCACCAAAGCCAAGAGAAGGAAGGTTACTAGATCTTTTGGGCGGGAAAAATCGTTAGAGAAGGGTTACCGGCAAAGCGACCGACGGCGAAAGTCGGTTAAGGCTAGCGAGGAAAGAGATGACCGGAGAACTGGAAGGAAGTTTCGAGATTCAGTCAAGAGAAGAGGGGGAGAAAAAAAAATGGTTCGGCTAGAGCAAGAAAGACGGGAAAAGGAAACAGTGTGAGATATTTCTCCTCTCTTTTTAATTAAATTTACTAAATAATAAAAAAAATATTATTTTATTCAAAAATTTTCAATTCATACACAACTTATCTCGATTTGAAACCCTATCAATATATATGTTATTACCGACGCAGTCCGTTTCATCATCTGAGGTCACCAGGACAAGTTTGTCGAATATCGTACAAATTTAACTTTAATTCACGTGTGTTGCGATAAGAGAAGTTAATTTGGTCAAATCAGAGATATTTAACGAGTATATCATTGACCAGTCCTCACATAAGCGAAAACCAAAGTAAAGTAAACTGCTCGCGGCAGAAAGTCGAACGCCGTGAGGTCCACCTATGTCTTTCAAGTTCCTATAGGAGTTCAATTTGAGCTTTGATATGTCAGCTTTTGAATCGACTCAATCGAATGTTGAGGATCTGAAACCGTCCATATAAAGCTTCAAAGAGCGGAGAAATGACTTGAATTTTTAAGTGGTGTGGGTTCCAATCTAGTCCTCTAGGAGAGTCAAAATATAAAAAATCCTAAGGCTAGATTCTAGCGTATCTAAAGAAAGGAAAAGGAATACCTCAAAATTGAGGTCAACAATAGTAACTAAGGCTAGGGAAATAATGGGAAAGAAGATTTAAGACCCTTAAGTAGATATTGTAATGTGAAAAAGGTAATGAGATCATTGTTGGCTCTCAAGACATTTATAAATGATTTAAATATTATTTCAAGTGCATAACGAATGATATTTTTCAAGGAAAAAATTACTTAGAAGTGCTAATTGAACTAAATCATGATGCGTACAATAGATTCATCTAAAAATAGTGAAGCTAGCATTCTAAAAATTGCATGAAACTAAAATTTAGATCTATGTAAAATACTGTTATTTGGATTCTTATGGGATGTATATTTGGGTTCTCTACACAACATAACTCTTTTATTAAAATCCTAAAAAAAAATCCTAAAAGACATGATATCAAATTAGAGGAATCATTTTTTTTTCAATTTTTAACAATTAATGAGATCTATACCCTTTAAAATGTTCTCAAGGAAACAAATTTATGAGTTATGTAATTAAACTTTGGGATGGTGTAATAGATCACATGCTTAGAAGTTGCAGACTTGATCAATTTGGTTCTGTTCAAAGAAGATCTGCTCTCGAATCGATACTTGTGCTAAAGCAATTAAAAACTTTAGAATAATTTTTTGGATGTGCATGGATCTTGAAAATATACAATCAAGTGGCGAACAAATTTTGTGAGGGATCATTAAATAAAAAATGTGTGTAAAATTGATGTTAAAAAATTGAATTTATTAAAAATTTTACCTGATCATTCGAAGATTAAGTTTAGAATAAGCTGTGAAATGATATTCAAGGATTTTAGTCATAATACGATGAGATTAAGGGCATATTTGCTTCAGCTGTGGTAGAGAAGAAGTTGCCATAGGAAAGCAGTTTGTAGAAAGCTTGTGAGATTATAGAGTTGAAGCTGTTTGGTTTCACCTGTGTTGCAGTGCCACATCTCTTGTTTGTACAAATTGTTTTGTGATTGTTTTATCATCAAGACAAAAAATAAGCTTATCATTATTTTATTAAAACGTAGGGAGATTAACGTTTATACTGAAAAAGATGGCCAACAAAGAGAATACCTCGCAATGAGATTATTGTGCTGCATTGATATCTTATTGCAATAATTGTGGTTTGCAGGTTATGGGATGTACGCAGTGGAAAAATCATCCAAACTTTGGAAACGACGTCTCCCGTCACGAGTGCTGAAGTCAGTCAAGACGGACGTTACATCACAACTGCCGACGGCTCAACTGTAAAATTCTGGGATGCAAATCAGTGAGTTACCAACCGTTTTGGTAATGTTACATTCTTGAACATCATTCCTTTACTATTATGCTAAAACAATGTGATGCATCTTACTTCTCAGTTTTGGGCTCGTGAAAAGCCACACAATGCCATGCAACGTTGAATCTGCTTCGCTTGAACCCAAGTTTGGCAACAAATTCGTTGCTGGCGGAGAGGACATGTGGGTTCGCATCTTCGATTTCCACACCGGTGAAGAAACTGGTGAGCTTACATCAAATGCCAGCATATGAGGTTTTGATTAGAGAGGTTATGGCTATGCTGGCCAGGTTTGAATTCACATAGCTCTTGTTTTATGTTATAGGATGCAACAAAGGTCACCATGGCCCTGTCCACTGTGTACGTTTCTCTCCTGGTGGTGAATCTTTTGCATCAGGTTCTGAGGATGGAACTGTCAGAATATGGCAGACAGGTCCAGTTGCAGTGGATAAGGAGTCTTCCGGTGCTGATGGAGCTTCTGGAAACATTAAGATTGGTGTAAACGAAGTTGCGCGCAGAGTCGAGGGAATTCATGTCTTCGATGATGGCAAGGCGGAGAACATCGAGGCCAGCGCAGACTCCTAAAATGCCTGTGGTTCGGCACAAATCCTAAATTCCTTGTATTGATCCTACTAAACCTTGCCACTACAGTTGAAGTTCACTGTGTGGAAGTTCCTCAGCTTTGATTTTCAGTGTTTTAGGGTAGCATGCAACATCTTCATGTCTTGGAATCTCATTTAAGTCAATCTGGGGCACGGAATAAAGGGTTAAATTGTTTATATGTTACTTTTTCCAATCCTTTTAAAAGAAGTATTTGAAGCTCATTTGAATGGTGATGCTTTAAAACAACTTCAAATGAATACTCCACTTATATTTTTCAAGTTGGAAAGGATATACCCACATGCTTCTTCTTTTTTTTTTTACTCAATAAAACACTTACTAATTCAGCTATTATATAAGGCTAGAGTTGGAGTTTTAGTGCAATATTGATGGATATATACATTAAAGAGGTAACTATACTAAATTCTCAATAATATGAATATAATATATTTTTAATTACCCTTACTTCTTTAAGCTATATTATAGGTTGTTGAACAAACTCCGGAGAACAATGATGAATAAAACATACCATAAAAGCTCAATATGTGACATATATATGACTTAGGAGACTGCATGAACAAATGGATGACTTCTACTAGTAATAATACTGCCCATATATTATGTTTATCTAATTATAAAATTTTTAATAATGAGTTTATGTTATTCATGAGTTTGTTATGTTTGGATGATTCTACTAGTAATAATAAAACGATTGAAGATAATTTCTCAATATGATTTTGGTTCCATGCAAGCAATCTTGCTATGCATACTTTTTTTTTGCTAAATTCATTGGCTACATTTTCTTATAAGTCTATTTAATAGGTTCATGATCACAGTGGAGCAAATGATAAGGATCTACATGAACCAGCTTGGGAACCAAGGTGAATCATGAATACATGATCAATTTTTAATATGAATTACTATAGATTCATACTAGGTTTTGGTATGAAGGTAGAAAGATAAATACCTAGTGTGTACATTGAAGAACACATCTTCAGATGATGAGACATATTATTATAGAAATTTATATGAGATTATGCAATTACAATATCCAATTTCAATTTCTATTCAACCGTGCTAATTTGACCCGGTTTCGAATCACTTAACAAAAACACATAAGCCATATGATATCATTGGAATCAAATTAAGGAGAAAATGTGCTAAATTTGATCTTTTTATTTTAGTACAACAAGTTAATCAAGTGTTTTATCTTAAATAACCTAGAAGACTAAAAGCAAAAAAAGAGATTGGGTAGTTAAGAAGATTAGAGGTCAATTTTCAGACTTCCAATTGGTGACATGAGTAGATGATGAAAATAAAATTTAAATACAACTTCTACTGATTCATTTGAGAAAACTATATGAAGTGTTTGTTATAGTTAATATATTTCTATTTTAATCATGTAGATTTTATTTTATTTTATTTTATTTATTAATTTTTTTACTCCTTTGGATACTATAATTACACATTACTTTTGTATTTAATACGCAGAATATTTTTTTTTGCTGATCTAATAATTTAATTTCTCCTTATTACAAATGACTTCTAATGATAGTGATAAGGGCACTCATACATCAAACAAGCTAATTTTCAAGTGAAGGAAGAAGACTATTCTCCATTTTAACTCTAGAGCAGTACCACTATCGCTTTCACCAGCCTATTATTCCACAACTCTTACTGACTCCATTCAATTTTACCACTTTCATCCCCTCACAGGTTTTGGGAGTCTACATTGTCTACCACAACCACCATATATGCTCATTCACCCATGCCTACTGAGCAGGGAAGTTCCAGGACACCCAATTATGCATTTGAATTGAATTCCATGGAGATAGATAATTTATATTCATTGTTTGTTTTTTCTTTCTGATTCATGCAGTGCTAACTAACATTTGCTTTGTAGTTTCAATCCATCTAGAGAAGCAACAAAAAAAAAATCAGAGCATGATGAGGAGAAAATATGATTCTCCATATTAATCCTTGAAGAAGATTCTAATAAATTGTGTGGCATGCAATTTACTGAATTTGAGTTATTAACTAAATTCTATATACTTATATAGTATTTGTTGCTCTAGTTTTAATTATTTTAATTTTTTTTGTGTTATAAAAAAGGTTTTGGTGGTTTTAGAAGAAATTTTGAGATAAAATATGCCACATTTTCATATGAAATGTTCACATATATTCACAAATCCAAGTAATGACTTCTTTTGGATTAGAGAGAAAGTGTGAATTGAGCTTTATAAGGCTTGAGTTTCTCTTGACTATGTTCACAAAAAAAGAACTGACAAAATAAAATCGAGCATCTCGCTATGTGGGTATGTGCGGCTCGCAATACATTAGAGGCCGAGTTCCTCATGCTGAGTATAAGAGAAGATTGATAAATCATAGATAACATTTGTTAGAAAATTTTATAAACATGATTTGTTAACTTTATATGTTTAAAGAAAAAAGTGCTTAAAAGAGCACTACAGAGTTATATAGTAGAATACCTCATCACCAAGTGGACCACTAGTGGGTTGATGTAAAGGCACAAATAGCTTTTACAAGCAAAATATTAATTTTTTAAAGTATGATTCATTTGAAAATATATTATTTTTAACTTCATTACAATATTTTATAGGATGAGTACATGAGACTGAAAGAGAGCAAATTCAAAGTTCTGTAGGCGCTGGAAGTTCAAATGGACAATCTGAGTAATTATAGTTTGATGTATTGAGAGGTGTTGGAGAAGAGAAGACAAGAAGAATATGCAACTTAGATTCACAGGGTCTGGCATACGATGCATGTCATTCTTTCTATGGACATAATGCTGATTTGAATGACTATGTGGTTAGAAGTTATGTCACTACATTTGCTGAGAATATCGAGGCTCAGGCGTCCACTTAGATGAAACTCGAATGACTACTATGAAAGCAAGGATAAAGAAGATGCGTCATGCCAGACAGAGGAGATAATAAATAGTAGAGGAGCAGGAGAAGGGGGAGCAGGTGAAGGACAATGAAGTGCGTCATGCCAGACAGAGGAGATAATAAATAGTAGTAGAGGAGCAGGAGAAGGGGGAGAAGGTGAAGGACAATGAAGAAACTCAAGAGAATTAGTTTATAGTGTTATGTGCTAGTATGCGTATTCAATAATTATCTGCTTTATTTCTTTATAACAGTTTCATGAAATATTTGATTGAAATTTTCTTTTATGTCTATGTATATTTTGGTTCTCCTAATTGTGGTTATTGTAATAAGATGATTTCAACTGCAAAATTTGAATAAAATGTCAATCTTATTTGTTTCTATAATGCAGTTGCAAGTATAAAAAAGAAAATGCATTAGAAAGTCATTTTAACACTATCATTGTCGGGTCTAAAGCCCTAGATGTGAAAAGTGGAGGGTTGAGTTAGGTAGTTGACAACCAAAATAAAATTTGTTGAAAAATTATGACAAGAATCCTTTTGATCATTGTGTAAATGCTAGGGCATCCCTTAGAAGCAAAGTGCTATATGACCTAAATACAGTGAAATGCGTGCAAGGGTCACTACACTGACTCCCAAGTGTAGTGTCAAATAAGCGAGAGTTCTCATATTACAAATGGATGCAAGTAAAGAAGTAGGTCTATGAAATTAATATTAGGATAGGATCTTAAAATATATGTACTCTTGCAGGTAAATTAATGGAATTAGTTGATATTATGATTCATAGAAAGATAAATATTTTATGTATTCAAGAAATTAAATGGGACAGATAGAGGGCTAATGATATTGATATATTAAGTTTTAAACTTTGGTATTCAAGTAAGAGTCACACTAGAAATGATGTAGGTGTAATTATGGATAAGAGTTTGAAAAATAGTATTGTAAAAATTAATAGAGTTAGAGAGAAAATTATAACCCCTAAGATTATTGTTGATACTAAGATTTTTAATATTATAAGTGCTTATACTCCTCAAGTAGGTTTATATATGGATTTTTAAGAAAAATTCTGGAATGACTTAGAGGACTTAATACAAATGATACATCTTGAAGAAAGAAATTTTATTGGAGAAGATTTAAATGGACATATCGGTAGAGTGTAGAAGATTTTAGAAATATTTATGGTGACTACAGTTTTAGAGTGATTAATGAAGAAGGTATAGACATATTAGATTTTTATTTAACGTATGATTTTATTACAACTAATGTTTTATTCAAGAAAAGAGATGAGCATATTATTACTTATAAAAATGGATTCAATAAAACACAAATTAATTATTTTCTTATGAGAATAAGAGATCGTCGAGAATGTAAAAATTGTAAGATCATTCTAAGTGAAGATTTAAGTACCCAACATCGATTATTAATTCTGAATTTTAAGATGAAGAGCTATAAAATAAAGAATATTATGAATCATTATCATAAAATTAGATAGATGAACCTAAAAGACAGAAATAAAATTATTTCTGTGAGTAAACCTCAAGATTTCAAGATTTGAGATGTTCATGAAGAAACAAATTCTATGTAAGAGAAAATAGCAAACACGATTAAACAAATAAAAAAAGATGTACTTGAAAAATAAAAAAAAATTCTATAAATAAAAATAGTTGGTAGTAGAATCATAATATGCAAGAAAAAATAAAATATAAAAAATTATATTATAAATTTTTGTTTAAATATAAAAGTTTAGAGAACTAGGAAAAATATAAAATAGGTCGTATGAAGTTTAAGAGAACAATATGTGCTTCTAAAAATTCTGTTTTTAGTGATCTTTATAATAGACTAGATACTAAAAAGGATAAAAAATATATTTATAAACTAGCCAAACAAAAAGAAAAGAAAAGTAAAGTTTTAATGTAAGTAAAGTGTTTAAAAAATGAACATCTAAATGTGTTTTTCTTAGAAAACGATGTTCAACATAGGTGGGTGGGCTATTTTAATAAGTTTTTCAATGAAGTTTCTGAAAATACGATCGGCCTTAGCAATCTTAATATCATTAATAATAATAAAGTGTTTCTTTTTTACCATCATATTAGTGAAAAAGAAGTTGAGGAGGCTTTAAAGAAACCAAGTGTGGATAGTTTGCAGGACCTGATGATATCCCAATTGAAGTGTGGAAATAGTTTGGAGATTTGAGAGTTTCTTAGCTTATTAAACTCTTTAGTACTATTTTTGAAGCTAAGAAGATGCCCAAAAGGTGGAGGAAGAGTATTTTGGTCTCCATTCTGAAGAATGAAGGACATGCATATTATAGAAGAATTAAGTTGATGTGTTATACTTCAAAATTATAGAAAGGATAATTGAACATAGGTTAAGACGTCTTACAAAGATTTCTTATAATAAGTTTGGATTTATGCAAGGCATGTCTACCATTGAAGCTATATATTTGTTGAGAGATTTGATGGAGAAGTACAGATAGAATAAGGAGGATCGACATATCATTTTTATTAATTAAGAAAAAGCTTACAATAAGGTTCGAAGAGATATCCTTTGGAGAGTTCTAGAAAAGAAAGATGTTGATATGACTTATATTCAAGTCATTAAAGATACATATACTAGAGCAGTTGCTTGTGTTCGAACAAAAGGAGGATTGACCAAATATTTTCCTATTTTAGTTGGATTATATAAGGGATCGGCTTTAAGCCCATATCTTTTTGTTTTAGTTATGGATGCTCTTACTAGACTATTACAGAAGGACGTATGTTAGTTCATGCATTTTGTTGATGATATCATTCTTGTGGATAAGACTAGAGAAAAAGCTCAAAAAAAAACTTGAGTTATGGAGATCAACATTTAAGTCTAAAGGCTTTTGTTTGAGTATAACAAAAATTGAATAAATGGAATATAATTTTAGTAGTAGTAGTCCTAGTGACAGAGTTATAACTATTGGTGGTCAAATTATTAAAAGGTATGAACGCTTTAGATATCTCGAGTCTATTGTTCAAAGTGATGGTGATATAGATGGGGATGTTATTAGTAGAATTCAAGTTGATTGGTTGAAGTGGAGGAATATTTTGGGCTATTGTGTAATAGAAAAGTACTGCTTAAACTGAAAGGAAAATTTTATAAGATGATATAAGATGAATTTTATAAGATGATGGTGAGATCTGCAATGCTCTATGGCGTTGAATGCTGGCCTTTAAAAGAGAAGCATAAAATTAAGTTAAGTGTTGTCGAGATGAGAATGCTTAGGTGGGTAAGTGACTTTACACAGAGATAAAATGCTAAATGATTATATCCGTGATAGGGTTGGTGTAGCTCCAGTGGCGGACAAAATTAGAGAAAGTCGTCTTAGATGGTTTGGTCACATTAAATGTCAAACACCTGATAATCCGGTAAAAAGAGTAACTGTATTAGATTCAACTTATGTTAAAAAAGGAAGAGGTGGACCTAAAAACACTTGGGCATGTTGTATAAATAAAATCTTAATTTATTAGAATTAAATGAATATATGACACTCAATAGGACGCAATGGAGAAAAAGGATTCATACCCCACTTAGTGGGAAAAAGGCTTCTTGTTGTTATTGTTGTATAGATATTCTAACGAACTTCTAATGGCTTCTTCATTGCTTAGTTTGATAGGTAAATCATTGTGACGGATTGCCAGTCAGAAAATTTTTCAAATAATTTTTACAGATTTTCGCCAGAAATTTTATGAAAAATTTGCTAGTAGATTGTTAAGTTCTGATAGTACTTCTCACATCTAGGCCTGTTCCCAGATTAGAACAATTTTTCAACAAAGATTTCATCAAAAATCAACAGGACAAAATTAATGAGCAGTTTTTTGTTGTTGTTGAAATGCATTTTTTAATAGAAATCATAAGGTTTTTGATGAAAATATCTGCCAGAAAAGCCAAAATTTCATGTAGTTTAAGGATCACTACTGGAAATTGGAAGTAAATAATTGAATGTGTAGGAACACATCTTCTTTGTCTTAGAGGTTGATGGCTGAGAAATCTTATTTCAGAGAGAAATTCTGATATGCAATTTTTTCTTCTGCATTTCCTTTACCATCTCATAACTTAATTCAGCCATCTTAAATGAAAAGAATTGAAAAAAGAAAAAAGAAATTCTATAACCAATCAGCTAGATTATGTCAAATGTCACCTAAACATGGATTGGCTTCCATTTCCAGAATTTCAATCCTACAAATCCAAATGCATAAAACAAGAGAGAAAGGCCTGTCATGTAAAAAGAATCACTAAAAAACCCAATTTGTGGGGCATGAGTAGAACAAAATAATATGAATGAAACCTTGCCACAGGACACAAGTTTATATGTTAAAACAATACAATTAAAACAAATAGAACAGAATAGCTGGTCTGTTTGATATCAGGGCCTATATCCTCCATAACATAATAAAACATTGCTTTCTAATGAACCAATAGCCAAATCTACCCACTAAAAGCATTAAAATTTTCCTCTTCTGCTAATTCCCCAACAAACAATGACAAGAGAAACCACAAATGACACTTTTCTGAATAACTATAATGATAAAGAATAAACCCAACAAATAACAGAAGTGTAGAACGAAACCAGTATCAAGCTTCAACCGGCGCTACCTTAGGAACTGCAACCGGAAAGTTATCAATCTCATCCATCCATGGGTTCTTCTCTTTTGCAGGATTCACAGTCTTCAAAGCCTTCCATACTGCACTGTTGCACTTGAATCCAGAACCAAATGCAATCTGCCAAACAGTATCCCTCTTCTTAATCCTTCCCTTAGCTTCACTGTAAGCCAATTCATACCAAAGAGAGCTACTTGATGTGTTTCCAAATCTATAGAGTGTCATCCTCGAAGGCTCCATATGCCACTCTGAAAGCTGCAAGTTCTTCTCCAGCTCATCCAACACTGCCCTTCCACCTGCATGAATGCAAAAATGCTCGAAGGCCAGCTTAAAATCTGGGATGTATGGCTTAATCTTCATCTTGAGAAGCTTCCTCCCCACCAAAGTAGCAAAGAATAGCAACTGTTCTGACATGGGAAGGACAAGAGGACCCATAGTAGTGATGTTGGTTTTCAATGCATCACCAGCCACTGCCATCAGATCCTTTGAAAGAGAGACGCCAATCTCCCCATCAACATCTTCTTCCTGTGTCACACAAGTGTAGCACTTCTCATCAGCTCCTTTATGTGTTCGAACCGTATGAACCAACTGATACTTGGACCGCCACCGATCAGATCTCTTGTTTGATAAGAGAACTGCAGCTCCGCCCATGCGGAAAAGACAATTAGAAACAAGCATGGAGCGATTGTTGCCATAATACCAGTTCAAAGTGATGTTCTCCATGCTAACAACCAAAGCATAGGATTCTGGATTGACTTGAAGGAGCTGTTTTGCAAGATCAATTGAGATTAATCCTGCACTGCAGCCCATCCCACCCAGATTATAGCTCAAAATGTTTCCCCTGAGCTTGTAGCGGTTCACAATCATGGCAGACAGGGAAGGGGTTGGATTGAACAAGCTGCAATTCACAATCAGTATGCCTACATCCTTCGGTTTCAGATTAGTCTTTGCAAAGAGCTCATCAAGTGCACCAAACATGACAACCTCAGCTTCCTTCCTGGCCATGGCCATTGAAGGATTGGGTGGAACATTCATGATTGCTTCAGGAAGATAGGTGGATTCACCAAGGCCGGATCTTTCAATGATTTTTCGCTGGAATTCGACATTTTCTTTTGTGAATGAACCTTTCGACTGCGACATATGTACAAACAATTGGCGACTGCATTTGTTGGAGTCCTCAGGTTTATAGCAGGCGAAGTTGACGAGATAGACTGGCTTGGGGCGACTGAGGAAGTAGAGTGTGGAGAGGAAGACGAGGAGGGTGGAGCATATAATGACTGAGATGAGGTTGAAACGGAGTTGCTCCCAAAGATTATACAGGTTTTCGAGGGAGAAGGTGGAGAGATGGGCGGCCATAACTCCAACAAAGGGAACCAGGACAAGGTACATGCCATGGGCGATAAGGTAGTGGTAACCGAGCTTCACATATTTTAGCTTGACAGATTGTTTGAAGTCTGGGAGCCTACTTGAAGAAGATTTAAACCTTGAGACTTCTAGTTTTGCTTCTTCCATTGTTGAAGCTTCGAGAGTGAGGGCAAAAAGAAAGATGGGAGATGATGTAAAAGGGTCAAACTGTTAGTTTCCTTCGCTGTTTTTAAAAGTAACAACAAGTGGAAAGTTGTCTATTTTTTTACTTAATAAGAGGAATCCGAGGGAGATTACAGAGAAACAGGCCCTGCAAGTAGAGAAACAGAAGCAATAATAGATTAGTAGCTGCTTTTTCGCTGGCAACAAGGCTCAGGACAAAAGATGGGCAAATAAATAAGGAAATAAAATCACGGATCCCTGAATATGTAGCAAAATGCCATCTTTCTGAAAGAAAATTTCAGATTTAAAACACCAAATAATCCAAACAAGTCAGAATATAAAGATCAAATCGCTACTGCCTAGCAAATTTGAGATGGGTCTGTATGTAACAGCCAAAAAAAAAAAAAAGAAAGAAAGAAAAATAATTAAAAAAAACTGAATTTTGATGAGATTGAAACCAACCTCTGATCTAAAATCTCCGAACACCGCAGCGACGACGTCCCGGTGTGTTCCTCAACGCCCGAATCTCTACAACAAAGAGGAGAGATAGAGAGCTCTTTGTATCTGAAAAACGCAGTAATGGCCGGTAAGAGAATCTCTCAGCTTTACTATTACTGTCCCTCAACTTGTCTCAGCTGCGCTATGGGACGAACCTCTTAAATAGGAAGAAGGCGACAGTGAGCAGCGTTACAGCGAGACACGCGATGGCGTGTACGATGGCGGAGTGGAAAACTGCGATCTTTTTCTCTTTATTTAAAAAAGTTACAGAGTTCGGTCACCGGTCACGTTGGCGCGGCTGTTTGACTCTCTTCCTCCGCCGCTGGTGACTTCAATTTTGTATCCGTGGCGGAAAGGAGCACCTTTGTGTTCTCAGTAGGTCACCTGATCAAATTGAACTTGTATCAATATGGCTGTGAATTTTGTTTTTGTGTTCTCAGTAGGTCACCTGATCAAATTGAACTATCATATTTGTATCAATATGGCTGTGAATTTAGTTCGAAGATTGTCAATCACTCCAAAATTGTTTTGAATT